AGGCCGCAGTGGCCGGGAGCGGCCACTGCACTCCAGTCTGGGTGACAGAGTGAGACTTCAACTCAAAAAAAAAGAATATTGAAAACATGTTGGAATGATAATATTTTGAATGTATTAGTTTAAATATATTATTGAAACTGATTGCACCTGTTAGTTTTTACTTCTTCAATGTAGCTACCAGAAGTTTTAGAATTATATATTCAGCTTATATTCAATTTCTGTCGGATAACAGTTCTAGAAGTAAAAGTAGGGGTGGAAAAAAAAGGATGAAAAATGAGGAAGAGGCCTCCAAGCGAACTGAGGTCCTGATGAATTCTGGAGACCAGAGGGACCTTAGGGGTCAACCTGAGGACTGTTGTCAAGGCTTTAAAGTAATTAAACAGGACAGTGGTCTCAGTTGCCACTGCTCTCTACCCCATTCCACCTAAATGAAACACCATGCTGCTCGCATGAGGAAAAGAGGGCAGAAGTCCAATACTGGGCAGCTCTGGGTCACAGGGACACAGAAGGAGCCGAGTGATAAGTGTCTGCTTTCCAAGAAAGGATCTCAGGACTATTGTGGCCACACCTGCATATTTTTCCAGAACATAGGGTTTTCTAGGTCCCAACTTTTATTTTTTTTTTTTTGAGTTGGAGTCTCACTCTGTCACCCAGAACGGAGTGCAGTGGCCGCTCCCGGCCACCGCAGCCTCGACCTGCTGGGTTCCAGCGATCCTTCCACCTCAGCCTTCCAAGTAGCTGGAACTACAGGCGCACGCTACCACGACCAGCTAATTTTTAATTTTATTGTAGAGACGAGGTCTCACCAAGTTGCCCAGGAGGGTCTCAAACCCGTGGGTTCAGGCAATCCACTCACCTCAGCCTCCCAAAGTGCTGGGATTACAGGCTGAGCCACCGAGCCGGCTCCCAACTTTTAAATACTGGCAACCAATCCCAAAGTTTCTTCAAACACAGGTGTGGGCCAAATGACAGTGTTTGCGGGAAGTCTAAGCCTCAAGTCCATGCTCCTGAGCCCACCACACAATTTGGGGTGGCCTCTGTCTGCCTCCTTCATCTTCCTCCATACATTTGGTGTACCAGCCATTCAGAATTCATTCCCTTCACCTTCCAGGCCTTTGCCCCGGTGGTCCTCCCTCCTGGAAGGCCTTCCACCACTCCCTTGGCATTTTCAAGACCCTCATTAATTACCACATCCCTCCCCCTCAGAAGTCTTCTTTGACGCCATAGCCATTCCTTGGGCTGCCACCTTTCAAGACATGTAGTAACACGGCGTAACGTCAGATATTTCTTTGCACTCCCAAGAAAGGGGAATTCATATGAAGCGCTGAAGACTTTATATAGGTTAACCCAATTTAATTCTCACATCAGGTCTGCAAAATGGGTGTTACCCTTTATCTTCTCTTTACAGAAAACCAAGTCATGCCTCGGAGAGGCTGGGGGATCCACAGCCCTGCTGAGTCAGGGAAGAATTTGGAATAAAGATCTGATCATTTTCCAAAAGCCAGAGCCCCTGCTGTTCTAGCTACTCTGAAGCTCTGAAAGTTTCACCTCATTGCAAGAAAGCATTTTGTTCATAAAAACCTAGGCTTGAGGGCTGGATATGGTGGCTCACGGCTGCAATCTTTGGAAGGCTGAGGCAGGAGAATCGCTTGAGGCCAGAAGCCTGGACAACACGGCGACACTGCCGCTAGAAAAAAAATTAAAATAAAAAACTCGGGCTTGAAAAATATGTGTTTACACACAACACGCACTACATATACATATGCGTATGTATATAACAGTAGGTCCCATATACGTATCAATATTGCTTAGGTTCTCGCATAGAGAAGAGAGAGTATGGAGATAGCCACAGATCCCTCGGAAAGGATCCCCGTCCACCTGCCCTGCTTTCCGCGTGCCATTCTTCCGAGGTCGCACTGAGGGACAACACATCTCTCTTTTCGTCACAAAGCAGCAGGAAACGCAGCGCAAACGCTGATGCAAGCAGAAGTGGGGAAGGGGCCGCAAG